ATGAGCCCTGACTGGACTACAAAGCAAACATCAAGAAATTAAAGAAATAATGATTCAGATAGCAATCTCTGATCACAACGCAACAAAACTAAACAACAACAAAATAATAATACAGGGTACACTTACAATGGAAATTTAATAACTCTTAGTTAACTTAAGAATAAAACAAAGGTGAAGAAGAGCTGGGGGGGGGATCAAATACTATACATATCAGCTGCTAAAGCAGTGTTCGGAGGAATGCTTGTCACCTTAAATACTGAAATAAATAACAAACAAATGAATTTTCCCATTCAAAAAGGAAAAAAATAACAACACTGAGCAGATCAGAGGGGATTAATAAAGCCAAAGTAGACATTAATGAACTAGAAAACAAAAGTCATAAAGCTAAGAACTGAATCCAATCACAGAAACCAACGACTAATCTCATCAAGCAAGAGGGCAGGGGGGAGAACAAATATAGAAGGAATAAAAGGGGAACAGCCACAGAGAAAATTAAGACTAAGAGACTACTATCTCTGCTATGCAAACTGAATTTAAAACCTTGATGACTAGGATAATTTTCTAGAGATATATATCAAAATGGACTCTAGCAGAGACAGAAAATCTATACAGATCAATACCACAGGCTAGAGAAGCCTGTCAAAGAGCAATAGTTCCCAAGACACACTAGGTTTAAAAGGTTCCATAGGTGGAGTTCTACCAAATCTTTAAAGAACAGATAGTTCAAAGGATAAGCTATGGTCTTAGGGCAGAAAAACAATTTCTCCTGAAACAAGCATGACGCTGACAAGAAAATCTAATCGACTGCACATACACACAACACCCAGAGCCAAACAGCACATGGAGATCAATATAATGAATTCAGGAATTCATCATACTATTCTCTCTAGTTCTGCGTACGCTTAAAATTTTCCGTAATGAAAAGCTAATGTTTTACTTGATGAAAATACTGAATCATTATGCTGTACACCTGAAACTAATCTTATAAATCAACTACTCTTCAATTTAAAATTTTTCTTTACTCAAATAGAAAATAAATCTATCGTGATACCCTTCTTCACTTATCAAAAGTTTGACAACCATGTGGTAGAACCGTAGAAAGACAGGTACTCGCAGAAACTTCCAGTGAGAGGATAAAGATACAACCTCGAAATGGAAGGCAATTTAACAATATTTAGCCAAATTTCAGGGCTTCCCCGGTGGCTCAGATGGCAAAGAGTCTGCCTGCAATGCAGGAGACCCGGAGATCCAAATTTCAAATGCACATAGCCTTTGATGTAGAAATCCCATTTTGAGGAATCTGTCCTATACAAATACTTACACATGCATGAAAAGATGAATGCAATAATTCACTGCAGCATGGGCTGTCAGAGCAAAGACTGGAAACATCAACAGGGAGCTGGCTAATGAATAGAGTACATCATACAAACTCTCAGATGCCATAAAAAGAAAAAGGAAGCTCTGCAGTTATAGATATGCAAAGTTGTCTGAGGAATTAAGTGTAAAAAAGCAAGGTACAGACAAAAGTATCACAAGTTGCCAGTTATGTTAAAATGGGGAGGCAAGTGGATGAAAGTTGGAAGCTCACTTTTCTATGTCCTTTTGTACCTTCTGAATCTGGAACCATGTAACTATAATCTCAGACCAAAAAGAACCTTTTTTTTTTTTTTAAATCACACCCTTTGGAATTGCACCATTGCAATTATAAACTCATAATTCATTTAGAACACCTGCTATTCTTGTGACAGTTGCTAACTGTGTGAAAGGCCATGTTTTAAGTAAAGATTGAGCTCAAAAGGCATAGAGAAATAAGACCCACAGATGAAAGGGGGACAACTCCAGATCCAGAAGGTCATCTTAACTGGTGGTTCTCAACCCTGGTGATGCTAAAGAACCACCCAAAATACCAATGCTCTATACCCCACCCCCCCACCCCCCCGAACATTTACAGTAAAGTTTGGGGGATGGGGCCCAGGCAAGAAAACCATGCCTCTAAATGCTTTACATAGCAGTGGTCTTCAACAGAGGGTGATTTATTTTGCTCCCCTGCAGGACATGGTGCTGTCTGGAAACATGTTGGCTGTCACAACTCAAGGGTGAAGGGAGTGGTGGGTGCTACTGGATCCAGTGGGTAGAGGCCTGGAAGGCCCACAGCACACAGGACAGAGCCCGCACCTGCCCCACCCCTAAAAATGTCAAGAGTGCTGAGACTGAGGAATCCTCCTTTCAAATAAAATCAGTGCTTCTGCAGTAAGATGCAGTTTTAGCCTTCCTTCTTAAACAAGGAAGATCATCTCACTTACTAGTATGGATATATTCACATAATAAAGCTATTTCTGTACTCGCAGAAACCACAACTTGTCGGTGTGGTTGTCACAAATACTGTAAACGTGAAATTCCGAGTATACCCTCTCTCCAGTCCCTGTCCAGGTATTCTAGTCAAAAGCTCGGGTCCCATTTGTAAAGCAGCCACGGGGAAAGTCACGAAGTTCACCAAGAGGCAGCCTGAGGCTCGACATGGGCCAGCATCTGTTCTATTTGAGCCCTGCATCTTTTAAAATATATTGAATTGGTGCCAGTCAGCTTCTCTTTCTGGAGCCAGCACATATGGGGAGGGGGGCAGGGAGGCTGCCACAGTCCCCCCACCCCAAGCTGGCTGCTCCCCACCCGGGGCCTTTTAGCAATTGAGGTGGCCCTCCCCTGCCGTGTGCTCCAACCACTCTGGGCCATAAGAGCCTCCTAAGTCTTGTGCCTTCTCTCCTTAAAAATACCCCCACACTCCTTCTAAATTCTCAAACTCCCACATCACTTGCCAAAATCAGACTGCTATCCAGAGCTGGAAGAACCAAGAGAATGGTAGAAGTCGAAGTGGCCTCTCTGTGTGACAACTGTCTACTGTTGTCATGAAAGATAGGCTGCCTGCCACCCGATTCATCTCTGGGCATTACAAAGGAGGCCTGAGTTTCTAGCAAATTCCACAATTTTATATATATAGCACTTCTGTGAGCTTCCTTATAAGGAAAAGACTTCAGTTAGTAGGCTTCTTTGATCATCCGAGATTAGAGTACCCCTCCACTATTCCCCAAATAGGTCAGAAGCTTTATATGGGAAATGCCTATCCGAAGATTTAGTCATTCTTTGTAAAAAGCTCATCCCTCCTCCTTCGAAATTAGGATCACACAGTTTTGGAGCTGTGCTTTAGAGATGACCTTATACAACCCACATGTGTTCTTGAGGAGGAAAATGAACTCTAGTGAGTTCAGTCCCTCAGTCAAGGCCAGGCTCTTGAGTCAGTGTAACAACAAGAATTAGAACATTTCTTTCCAGATCATGGTCTCATGGGTTTCCCACGATAACACTATCCCCCACTGTGGTTTTCCTCCTCAAATAACATCTTTGCCAGAACACCTATTAATGTGGTAGATAGGAGCTGCTACAGAAATAAATCAACCGAAATGTCGCCAAGCTACCAGGGCTATCACTTCAACTTGGGAGAGTGGAAGGAGGGAAGTAGGAGGCTCTGGATTCTTTTTATGTCTTTTATTGTGAATTAACCTGTCTCAGCTTACCCCAGTGAAAAGCAGATACCTTCAGACTCTCTCTAAACCACACATTAGGGATGAAAAATGCTATTTATAGCAACAGAGACATTTTCTTTTTAAACTTTGAAGGGGGCAGGGGCACTGCCTGAAACCTCTCAACTTCTCACAAGTGACAGAGATGGTCAAGTAAAACTAATGAAAAGCTTCTGGGAGAGAAGTTTAAGATGCAAAGATCTACCTATCACCGAATTCTGATTTCCCTCATCATTTGCTGGCAAATTGGTTTCTTAACATTTAATTTGGTCTCAACTAACCAATTCCGCTCATCCTAGCCCAACTGTGGACAACATCACATGGTGCTCTCGCTCTTCCCCGAATGTGCTACCTACTCTGCACTTGGGTTTTTATGCCCACCTGACATCATCTCTACACATTTACTTAAGACTCATTAAACGACCAGCTGCCCCATTATTTTCCCTTGAGAGCTTAGAACATCTCTGCCGCTCCATTTTCTTTTCCTTCCAGGACGCCGTGCTCCGATTCGATACCCGGCTGCGCACTTCGGTTTTATCACTTTCACGTGTTTCCCAACCAGCTGCCTCGCATTCAGCAATTGTGAGTATTCCCTACGTGCTCGCACCGGCACCACTTGGGAAACACGGTCCAGTTAACAGGACGTCGTGGACTCTCTCCCCATCTCAGCTAGGCCTCAGGCAGGTTGGGGGCCGGGTCCTCTGCGCTCGCACCTCACTTCGTGGAAGCTGCCCAGCAGCCCACCGCACAGGGGAGAAGCGAGGGGACGCAGGAGAGGCACGACGAAAGGTGTGGCAGCCGACCCTGCTCTGGCACCAGGAACCCACACGTCCGTTCTTCCCCAGCATCTAAGGCAGTCGCAACCCAGGCCTCCAACTGCTTAAACAGAACACCACCAAGACAGCAGTTCGAGTCCAGCCGCTCTTGCCACCTTAGGTGGTGCCTAAGAGCACCTCAGAGCAGAAAAGGAACGAAATGTCGTCGCGTAATTTATTCGACCGCAAGGTGTTTCTAAACAGGTCTTACCCAACACACACACACACACACACAAAAAAAAAAAAAAAAACCAACTACCTAAACATAAAACCCTTGAAAAGCCACCCACATTCCGCTCCGAAGTTTTAACGGCCCGGAGGTCCGTGTCAAGCAGATTGGAAGCTAACGACGGCAGGTTTGGGAAGTCCCGCCGCCCGGCTGATGCTCCTCAGACGCCGTTTCTGGGTCTCGGGGTGAGCCCTCGGCGGGTATGCGGGTGCCAGGCCCTACCCCTCCGAGCCCCCAAATCCGAGCCTCTGGGAAAGGCCCCGGAGCCCCGCCCGCGGTTCCCACGGACTTCGCCCAGAGGCCGCGGAGACCCGCGGCGGCGGGCCCGGAAGGTAGCGCCTCCACACCCTGGGGTCGTGGGGACCGTGGCCCCACACTTACCGAAGTCCAGGAACTGCTTGATAGAGAGCGGCGATGGCGAGAAGCGCGAGTAGCGCTCAATCTGCTTGGGCACCGGCTGCTTCAGCAGCCACTGGAACAGCCGCATCCTCGCCCCGACAGCGCAGAGACCGGCCGAGACGCTCAGGCGGCCGCAAGGACCGGTGCAGCTGAGCCGCGCGGATTGGGTACGTTAGGCAAGCGCGCAGCCCGGCCTCCGCCTCGGCGCCGCTGTACGCGGGGCGCGAGGGGCGCGCGGCCGCACGCGCTGGCTGCTGATTGGCCGCTGCTGCCCTCGCTTTCTTTCGCCCGGGCGCAGCCCGGCGCCGGTGCGTCCCTCCTTGCCTCCTGGGACCCAAACAAGCCCGGCAAGTGCAGCTGACCCGGGTCCCGTCCGGGGCTAGGTCTTCCGCGACTGAAAGGTGGCGGAGGTACAAGGAGACTGGGAAGAGACCCTAAGCCCTCGCCCGGAATCCGATCCGTACGCTGCTCAAGGCCCCTCTCTACCGAAGGCATCTCTTCCGGGAAGCCCTCCCTGGATCAGCTGACTTGCACTTCAGGGTATTTCGTTGCATCTTGATACGTTTTCATTTTCTGTTTACCACTTAATTATAGAGATTGCTTCATGCCCTCCACCACCACCACCACCGTTGGGCAGAATAAACTCACCGGTTCGGATTCCTGCCTGCCCGTCACTATTGGACAGAATTCATTTTGTCACCGATTCTGTTTCGTGCTCCCCCCCGCCCCCACCCTTCACCTTCGGACAGGATTGTTAAGTCAGTGCCTCCTTATTTCCTCCCTCAGCGCCCCTGGTTACCACCAACTCTCCCTTCCCACCGTCCTTCATGGGCCAACACCTTTGGGCAAGATTAATTGAAAAGTCACTATTTGATGCAACCACCACCACCATCATTGGACAGGATCAATTATAAGGTCACTGACACTTCATTTCGTCCCTACCCCTACCCCCCTCCTGTGAATGCCCCCTAACATCATTGGACAGGATTAATTGTTAAGGTCACCGGCTCTGTTTCATGCGCCCCCTGCCCGCCCTGTTTGAAAGGATCAACACTACCACTGGAAAGGATCAAATTTAAGGTCTTAGGCACTACCTTTCAGACCCCCTCATGACCACCACCACCATAGGACAGCACAGCCCCCTGACTCTTTTTCATGCCTCAGCACCACCACACCACTTATTCTGGACAGCAGCCTGTGTTTACACTGTTTACACACTGCGTTATTCTTTGTGTAAGAGTGAACTTGAACTCAGGGCTCAGTATGTGAAATCATTATTTCCCAATGTGAAGGTATAAAATACAGCTTGCTTTAACCGTTTCCACCAAACTTTGCTTTATTTTTGGCAATGTATCAACTAAATGATCGGTAGAATGGGACTTCCCTGATGGGGAATGACTAAGACTCCATGCTTCGATCCCTGGTCAGAGAACTAGATCCCACATGCTGCAACTAAAGATCCTGCATGCTGCAAGAAACTGAAGATCCCGTGTGCCACAGCTAGGACCCTGGCATAGCCAAAGAAATAAATATATTTAAAAAAATGAAAGGTAGAATATTCTCCAAGGAAAGATAAAAATTTAACTGGAAATCACTCCTTTGGTCTGGTTGGACTGGTTTTCTCAGTAGGATTATTGGTGTGTAGCTGTTTAGCTTCTGTGCCTTCGTTGGATTTTTAATGCACCCAATTCTCTACTCTGAACTTAAAAAGTCATACGTACACTCAAAAGACATCCACTGGTCTTCCCTCACTTCTAGATTTTCAAGTACATTTTGGTCATCTTGGTGGTGGTACATTATGTAGACTACCATGTCTTTCCCATCCAAAACAGAAGCCTGAGAGACATACTAACAATCTCTTTAACCAGGAGCTTTGCCAGAAGAGCTAAACAATCCTGATGGTGTGCACGGGCAGACAAAAAGACCTCTGGTCTGTGGTTCCCCCAGTGACTTTCTCGGGGGCTACCTGGAGGCACAGTGCACTTGGTGGCAATGTGGGAGCAGATGAGCAGGAAGACTGAGTATCCATGGAGGGGGAGTTTTTCCCAACCTAAGTTGCAAATCGCTGCTGATCTTTCTGAGCTCAAAAAGATTTATTTCACTCCTTCCTTTTTTAACTGAACAAAACGCTACTTTACATCTATGTATTCTGATTTACTAAACTGTCATGTGCCTAGTTTTATTAATATTTCTCCAAAAGGTGGCAAAGTCTTAGAGCCTGGGAACAATATGAAAGAGCCTGGTATAACAGAAATTGTCCTAGTCTAGGACTCAAATGAATCCTAAGCTTGGTTCTATCATTAACTAGCTGTGTGACCTTAGACTAGTGAAAGAAAGTGAAGTCGCTCACTCGTGTCCGACTCTGTGCGACCCCTTGGACTGTAGCCCACCAGGCTCCTCCATCCATGGGATTCTCCAGGCAAGAGTACTGGAGTGGGTTACCATTTTCTTCTCCAGGGGATCTTCCCAACCCAGGGATTGAAACCGGGTCTCCCGCGTTGGAGGCAGACGCTTTAACCTCTGAGCCACCAGGGAAGCCCTTAGACTAGTGGGGGGAGATAAATCAGGAGCTTGAGATGAACATACACACTACTCTTGCCTGAAGAATTTCATGGACAGAGGAGCCTGGTGGGCTACAGTCCATGGGATCTCGAAGAAGCGAACACAACCGGGCAACTAACACTCCTATATATATGACAGATAACCAACAAGGACCTACTGTATAGAACAGGAAACTCAATGTTCTGTGATAACCTATACAAGAAAGTAATCTAAAAAGGAATATATGTTTATGTATAACTGAACCACTTTGCTGAACACCTGAAACGGACACGACATTGTGGCAAATCAACTGCACTCCAATAAAATTTTTGTTTTTAAGGGTGAGAACCAGTGTGCTGCGCTATGCACTCTAACCTAGGGCCCTATTCCTTCTTATTAATGCCTCAGACCTCAGCGCACGTATCACTTAGATCTACATCAAGGGAGGCCTTCCCCCATCATAAATGCTACTCATTCCCCTTGCTATATATTTTCCTGGCTCTCGTGCCTCCCACTGTAACACGCAAAACAGTTTGTTATGGTTTGATTATTGCTGTCTATTGACTATTCCTCTCTTCGTTGGCAATAGACATCACCCTGTAACCACTGGATCCAGGTCTGGCTTATTTACTGCTTCATCCTCAGTGTCCAGCATAAGTACCAGTTAGTATTTAGGTTCACAACAAATATTTTTTAAATAAATGAAAACCAGCAACAACAACAAAACCTACCCCAAATCGCATTCCTTTTGATCAGCTCTCAGTGGAGAACAAAGGCAAGGGTAGTGTTCTGAGTAATTAAAATGATAATGGACACTTCATTAAATAATAATTTGATAAAGCCAAAATCCAAAGTGGACTGTAACAGATGAGGGAAAAAATAACCCTGATTATCTGACCATCAATCACTGATGGGTGGATCTTGTCATAAAATGCCTCCACCTTCATTTGACTCTATGAAATTCTGGTCTCCCTGTCTTTTCCTCTTCTCTCTCTCTCTCTCTCTCTCTTCACTCTCAACAAATATTTTTTGAGCACCTACTGTGTGTTCTGTGAAAGTACCTATGTTGTCTCTTCACAGTAAATCTGATGGGTGAATATTATCCTTATTTGATAGGTGAGTGAACTAAGACACACAAAGCTTAAACTAATTTAAGATTACACATTTGTAAATGACAGTCCACATTCGAATCAAGATCTCCTGACTCTCAGTTCTATGTTCTTTCATAATACTGGCCTGAATTGTTCTTAAAAAGACTAAAAATAGACTTTTTAAAAAATGTATTTTTAGGTTCATAGCAAAATTGGGTGAAAAGTAAATTACCACACACAGCCTCCCCCACCATAAACAACCCACACCAGATGGTATCTTTGCTACAGTGAGCCTACACTGACACATCATTATCAACCCAAGTCCATAGTTTACACTGCTATTTATTCCTGGTATTGTACAGTCTATGGCTCTGGACAGAAGTATTCCCTGAAAAATCTGCTATTCTCTGCCTACACGTCCTACCCGCCACCAAACCCAGGCAACCACTGATCCTTTTACTGTTCCCATAGTTTTGCCTTTTTCAGAATGTCATATAGTTGGAATCATACAGTATACAGCCTTTGCAGGGTGGTTTCTTTCATTTCCCAATGCGCATTTAAGATTCCTCCTTATCTTTTTGTGGTTTGATAGCTCATTTCTTTTTAGGTCTGGGTAATATTCTATTGTCTGGATGTAGCAGAGTTTTATTTATCCATTTGCCTCTTGAAGGAAATTATGGTTGCACCCAAGATTCACTAGCCCACCTTTTGATTTGAAATGTGGAAAATAAGAGTGTGGAGATGAGTGAACTAGAGAAGCAACAACTATTTATGTTTTACTAAATGTATACTTTGAATCAAATATTGGTGTATTTGAAGCAGTAGCTCTATTTTCCCAAGGGTCAAGATTCTTGATTTTTTTTGACAAGCTACTTTAGGTGGTTCAGATCCTCTTGAAGTCCATTTATCCTAGTCTTTTCTGTTCTAATTAAGGATTTTTGGTCTTAATGGTCTTTCTCTTGCCCCAAAAGAGGTCAGAAAAGACCTTAACTACAGGGATAGTGTGGCAGATTAATTTACTGAGAAATGAAATCTGGGTTTTGTTTTTGCTGCTCTTGGAGGAAACAAAACAAAGGGGAAGCTGATCTTCACCCACCTAAAAGAGAATGGAGATTTTGGGTCTCGGCTTTGGGCTCCTGTGCCTTGGGAAGTTTATTAGCTGTTCTGTAGAGAGGGTGCTTTGGTTTCTAGGGCTGAAAACAGGTTGCAAGATATTAAGAGACATTCTGGTAGTCTCTGTAATCCTGCCTCGGATAAACCTCATTGGCTATAATACTGAGCAAAGCTGATAGTCTCTGTAAATTCATTCCCTCTTCTGTTGGTAACTACCTCCCACTGCCTTTTATTTACTTCCCAGTGCGGTGCAATTGTGCTTTGGGGGCATGGGGGAGGTGTCCAATGGGGAATAGCCCACTTTGGTGGTGTTAATAATAAATGAGATATATGGCTCAATCTAAAAACTCATGAGCTTAATTCTGACCACTGGCCATGGCTCACGGTTTTTGGCACATGACCCAATTGAGGCCAATAAAAAGCAGAAGACTGGACTTCTCTTGTGATCCCGTGGGTAAGACTGTGC